GTGCAACTCTGATTATCATTTTTAATCTGAAAATTGCAATGTACACGAATTTTGTTTCACTATTATTATCTACAAGAGTTAATGAGTATTAGGACTTAAGTCTTTTAATAGGAGTTGCGATTTATTGTTATTGTAGCACAGCCGAACTTACGTGTATTTGCAATGAAATCTTGTTTAATGATATAACACTTTTAATATCACGAATTCCAATAGGATTTGCACGTGCATACTGTTCAAACCAGTATGATAAAAGGCCAACTTGAATTATTATGAAATAACGTACAGAACTCAGTAAAGTTTACATTTGGTAGGATCAGAATAGTTCCTTTAAATCACATAATATTATTATTAAGTTATTTTTGATTTTCTTCTTGATATATAGATTATGAAAACAGAATAAGAACCAAACGGAAAATGGAAGAAAAAAAACCTATACAAACAAAATCGGTATCAATTAAGGTGATTAATAAGGATAATATGGTATTATTTTTGTAATTTATGTTTCTAGCCTCACAATACTATTTGTGTACATGTACATTGTAGGATAACCTGGTTATTAAGAAGTCATGTGGACGGACGGCTTCAGAGGACCTAGCTGAATACATGTGCACATCACGATCACTGAGATCTGTAACGATCGCTGATGCTATGCATGATGTCTTCTACTCGGCGCTTGCGAATAAAGCAGTCGACTCCAAGGTCAGTATACATCTGTGTATTATCTACGTTCTGGTATATTTGGTAGATTTTTCTTTTAAAAGAAATGGATGCCATATTCATTCTGCATAGTAGTTTTTCTGGTGTCATAAGATTAAATTAAATTAGGAGAATACTGGAAAATAGAGGTTTGTTTTTAGGGAAAAAAATTCAATTTCAGGCGACTTTACTTTTTTTAAGTACACAAAAAAGAAAAATATTCCATTCAACTATTTATATATTACTTATGTTTTAATTATAAGCTAGTGGGTTTCCACCAAAAAAAAAATCTTTATCTTTGCTCGCTCTTTTCATGATGACCCGATTTTCCCTACACTGTTTAGTCATAATGGTGGAATAATTTTTTTTTACCCCAATTTATGGAATGATTTTTACAATGAGTTATTCCTAATAGATCTTGATAATAGTATACACTCTCAGATTTTATTGAATAATAATTTGTTAGTATTTGTTTTGCGAGACTGCTAAAGCATGTGTGTGCTACTATGCTAATCAACTAGGTGACTTACGTCCTGAAGCCATAACTGACAGTAATGAGGATTAATGCCTCATAAAAGGGCACTAATATCAGGGGCGGATCTAGCTTTTTGCTAAGGGGGGGTTTGACCAAAATAATGACGATGCGGAGCATCGTCCACGAGCCGCGAAGCGGCGAGCCGATTATTTTTGGGTGTTTATTTGAACCCCGTAAGTGATGTTTTCCTGGCATCTATTAACACAATGGAGACCATAAAAAGCAGTGCATGATAACGTCTTTTTAAATCAAGTAACAGTTTAATACACAGTTATATCCAGAGTTATCATGTGTTTGGTTAAGTTACCAGATGAGTTGAATATCTTCTCACAATATTTGCACTTGAAAGGGTTTCTCTCCAGCGTGCATTCTTTTTTCTTTCTTTTTTTTTTTTTTTTTTTTTTTCCCCTTTTTTTTTTTTTTTTTTTTTTTTGCCGCCCAAGGGGGGGGGGGGTTTAAACCCCCTAACCCCCCCCCCCCTCCCGTAGATCCGCGCCTGAATATAGCACATCGACACGGTTTTGATCCAGAACGCATCGTCGCTCCGTGGATAATTCTTCAAAATTCCTTCATAATTGTTGATATTAAAATGTTCGTTTTCCAACGACCAATTTTTGTGCATACTAAACAAAGAGGCGCGCCTCGGGGTGATAGCAGCGGGGGCGAATTTCCCTTGAGTGTATAGAAACAGCCAGTTCTCTCGTAGCACTCGATTTCTCTATAATATAACATTCTTAATTCTGTATGACAATACGGAATGCGGCGGGAATGCTGATGGAGAGACGTCCATTTAAATTGTGAATGCCGATTTCAATTTTAAAACCTAGAAAATGGAAAATCGAACCCCTTCGTCTCTTATGTCCCTTTGAAAACCTGAAGGTGTTCCATGTTTATTTTTTTCACACTTTTATGTTATGTAAAATCAGATTTTAAAAATAATATTTCAATCAAATTTCAAAATAATCTTTCGCATTATAAATGAATGAGGATGGTGACTGTATGAAGATGTAAAGTTTAAAAACATGTTCAAGACGAGTAATGTCAGCAATTGTTTATCCAACATAATGCTACAATTATATCAGATTCGGATTTTGGACACTCAATATGTGGACCCCCCCCCCTATGGAGTGCTGATGGAGTGACGGCTATTTTAATTAAGAATTGCTCATGATACAAAATATATGAATTTAAAACCTACAAAATGACAAATCGAATCATTTCGTTCCCGTTGTTGTGATTGTGTTTTCCATTGGAAACTGCCAAATATTCTGAGTCTATTTTCACACATTTGTGTTACGTTATTATGAAATAAAGATTTTCAAAGTAATAACTCTAGCAAATAGATTGTAAATGTAACGTATTGCTTTTGTAAGTTAATGAGGTTGGCGACTGTATCATCATGTAATGTTAGATATGCTTCAGTATATTATTGTCAGCAATTGTTTATCCAACATCATGTCGTATTATTACAACAGATTGAGACTCTGGACATCCGCTCTGATGATCTCAGTGATCGTCCTGATGCATCACGTGATCTCGCTCAGTTCATATGTAAGCTGCCTCATCTGAAGAACCTGACATTCTGTGGTTTCTGTCACGATGACTTCTACTCAACATCATCAGAGATGGCATCATCAGCAAAGGTATTGATTCGCTCATATATTTTAGGACACTAAGAAAATCACTACATATTTGTTATACTTGAAGTGTACCCTTTTCTATATTGTCAAACGCAAGTGTAATATTTCACTCTCCCTTTTAGTATATCCTACCACTGAGAGGAAGCGGGTTGGAAAAGTTAACTGTTTATGGACGTGGAAGTGAAAAGTGAACTTACTGCCATAATACAAAAACAGACTGAAGATTTTTAACATGGATGTTGATTAATATATTATATATCATATCTTTAATTCCATTTGACAATTCGGAATGCTACAGGAATTCTGATGGAGAGACGTCCATTGTAATTGTGAATGTTGATGTTATGTTATGTAAGATTATATTTTCAAAGAACTATTTCAATCAAATGTCAGAATGACGTTTTGCTTTGTAAATTAATGAGGATGGCAACTGTATCAAGATGTAAAGTTCGGAAATATGTTCAAGGCGTGTAATGTCAGCAATTATTTTTTTTAACGTAATATTACAACTAGGCCTATATAGATAAATAAATAGATAGATAGATAGTTTATTGGTTTCCACAATATCTAATTTTACAAAGAGTGTAACAACATATTGAAAATGATTATAATATACATGTACATACAATACCGGTACACACTATTCAGAATATTGTCCATTAAGTTAAACTTAAGAGATATAGTGGCGGAGCCAATGGAAAAGCAGAGCATGTTGTGGGTAGGCCCCTTAAACTACAAATGACGTAATTAACTAAAGTAAAGTTTATAAAATACAAATACATGCTAAAACAGGGAAAGGGAGATTACAGGGATACATGAACCGATACTCACAATTAACTACAAAAGACAAGGAAAAGGGAAGGGAATATATCTGCAGCTTATTGAAACAATATTACAATATAGTTTGTTCTCGATATGAGTATATTATAAACATAGTTGGTATGGTCATACCGTTAGTTACTCATTGTAATGAACAAAAGTATACAGCTTGGAGACAAGAATAGTTAGGAATCAGGAATGACAATGTGTATTCAAATAATAACTTTTCAATGTTCTTCTGAATACATGTACACTAACAGACCTTTTAATCATAGAATCGAGAGAATTCCAGAACTTAGGACCTGTATATATTAAGGTATTTTGAGCAAAGCGTGTTCTCGTTCTAGGAAGGTTATAGGAAAACGCCTGTCGGGTAGGATATTCGTGGACTTGATTTCTTTTCTTAAACAAATAAGATAGTGCCTGGGGCAGTTTGTTGTTATTCAGCTGAAACACGAGGCAGCCTAATTGTACATTAAAAATATCCCGAACTCTCAGTACCTTAGTATTAAAGAAAAGAGGGCTCGAGTGAGTACGAATAGGTACATTGCAAATTGTTCGTATTGCTCTTTCTTGAACAACCAGGATTTTGTCCAGTTGAAGTTTCAATGAACTACCCCAGGCAAGAATCCCATAGTTCAAGTAGGGCAACATTAAAGTGGAGTACAACATTTGCAATACATATGATGGGAACATAGGTTTCAGTTTGTATATCACACCGGCATTTCTTGATAGTAATGAACACAAATAATTTGTATGTATTTTCCAGGATATTTTATCATCGATAAACAGGCCAAGAAACTTGGTCGATTTTACTTTCTTAATTTTAACATTGTTGAAATAGATATCTCCTGGTAAATCGGATATTGAATTGCTAAATAATATGAAATTAGTTTTGTCCAAGTTCAGTGACAGTCTATTCGCAAAAATCCACTGTGTATATCAGATTAGGACTTTGGGCACTCAATATGTAGACCCCCCCCCCCCCCCCCCCCCCCCTATGGAAGTGCTGATGGAGTGACGGCTTGTTTGATTAAGAATTGCTGATGATACTAAATGTATTAATTTATAATAATAATACTAATATAAATTCAAAACCTACAAAATGAAAAATCGAATCTCTTCGTTCCTTTTGTTACGATTGTGTTTTCCATCGGAAACTGCCAAATATTCTGAGTCTATTTTCACACATTTGTGTTACGTTATTATAAAAAAAAGATGTTCAAAGTAATATCTCTATCAAATGGAGTGTAACAGTAAAGTATTGCTTTTGTAAGTGAATGAGGGTGGCGACTGTATCATCATGTAATGTTAGATATAATACATTATAGTAATGTCAGCCATTGTTTATCTAACATGATGTCGTACTATTACAACAGCTTGAGACTCTGGACATCTTCTCTGAAGATCTCCGTGAACGTCCCAATGCATCACGTGACCTAGCTCAGTTCATCTGTAAGATGCCTCATCTGAAGAACCTGACACTCAATAGGGAGTACAAGGCCTTTCTTCACGATGACTTCTACTCAACATCATCGTCGATGGCATCATCAGCAAAGGTATGGATTCAGTGATACATTTTAGGACTCTAAGAAAATTACTACATATTTGTTATAATTAAAGTGTATCCTTTCCTATATTGTCAAACGCAAGTGTACGATTTTACTCTCGTAATTGTTAAGATGAAGCAGGTAGGAAAAGTTAAATGTTCATGGACGTGGATACTAAAAGTGAACTTTCTGTCATAATACAAAAACAGTCTGAAGATTTCAACAATGCTGGTAACTAATATATTATATAACATATTCTTAGTTCCATATGATAATTCGAAATGCTACGGGAATGCTGATGGAGAGACGTCTATTTAAATTGTGAATGCCAATGAGACTAAATTATTTCAATTTAAAAACCTTCAAAAATGAAAAATCGAATCCCTTCGTCTCTTCTATCCCTTTGGAAACCGCAAAGTGTTCCATATTTTTGTTTTTACACTTTTATGTCATGTAAAAATAGATTTTCAAAGTACTATTTCCGAATTGAATTTCAGAATAACGTTTCTAATCATAAATGAATGAGGATGGCAACTGTATCAAGATGTAAAGTGTAAAAGCATGTTCAAGTAATGGCAGCAATTTTTTATCCAACATAAATGCTACAACATCAGATTGGGACTTTGGACACTATTATGTGGACCCCCCCCCTATGGAAGTGCTAATGAAGTGACGGCTATTTTAATTAAGAATCGCCGACGATAAAAGAAATATATGAATTCGAAACCTACACACAAAAAAAATCCAATCATTTCTTTCCCGTTATTGCGATTACGTTTCCCATCGGAAACTGCCAAATGTTCCGAGTCTATTTTTCACACATTTGTGTTACGTTATTATGGAATATGATTTTCAAAGTAATATCTCTAGCAAATAAAATGTAAGAGTAACGTGAATGAGGTTGGCGACTGTATCATCATGTAATGATAGATACAATACAGTATAGTAATGTCAGCCATTGTTTATCTAACATGATGTCGTACTATTACAACAGATTGAGACTGTGGACATCTTCTCTGAAGATCTCCGTGAACGTCCCAATGCATCACGTGATCTCGCTCAGTTCATCTGTAAGATGCCTCATCTGAAGAACCTGACACTCAATGGGAAGTACGAGGTCTTTCTTCACGATGACTTCTACTCAACATCATCGTCGATGGCATCATCAGCAAAGGTATGGATTCAGTGATACATTTTAGGACTCTAAGAAAATTACTACATATTTGTTATACTTAAAGTGTACCCTTTCCTATATTGTCAAACGCAAGTGTACGATTTTACTCTCGTAATTGTTAAGATGAAGCAGGTAGGACAATTTAAATGTTCATGGACGTGGATACTAAAAGTGAACTTTCTGTCATAATACAAAAACAGTCTGAAGATTTCAACAATGCTGGTGACTAATATATTATATAACATATTCTTAATTTCATATGATAATTCGAAATGCTACGGGAATGCTGATGGAGAGACGTCTATTTAAAATGTGAATGCCAATGAGACTAAATTATTTCAATTTAAAAACCTTCAAAAATGAAAAATCGAATCCCTTCGTCTCTCCTATCCTTTTGGAAACCGCAAAGTGTTCCATAATTTTGTTTTTACACTTTTATATTATGTAAAAATAGATTTTCAAAGTACTATTTCCGAATTGAATTTCAGAATAACGTTTCCAATCATAAATGAATGAGGATGGCAACTGTATCAAGATGTAAAGTGTAAACACATTTTCAAGTCGAGTAATGGCAGCAATTTGTTATCCAACATAAATGCTACAACATCAGATTGGGACTTTGGACACTCAATATGTGGACCCCCCCCCCCCCCTATGGAAGTGCTAATGGAGTGACGGCTATTTTAATTAACAATCGCCGATGATAAAAGAAATATATGAATTCGAAACCGACACACACAAAAAATCTAATCATTTCTTTCCCGTTGTTGCGATTACGTTTCCCATCGGAAACTGCCAAATGTTCCGAGTCTATTTTTCACACATTTGTGTTACGTTATTATGGAATATGATTTTCAAAGTAATATCTCTATCAAATAAATTGTAAGAGTAACGTGAATGAGGTTGGCGACTGTATCATCATGTAATGTTAGATATAATACATTATAGTAATGTCAGCCATTGTTTATCTAACATCATGTCGTACTATTACAACAGATTGAGACTCTGGACATATCCTCTGATGATCTCCGTGAACGTCCCAATGCATCACGTAATCTCGCTCAGTTCATCTTTAAGATGCCTCATCTGAAGAACCTGACATTTGGTGGTTTCTGTCACAATGACTTCTACTCAACATCATCGGAGATGGCATCATCAACAAAGGTATTGATTCGCTCATATATTTTAGGACACTAAGAAAATCACTACATATTTGTTATACTTTGTTTTATGGAGAGACGTCCATTTAAATTGTGAATGCCAATGAGACTAAATTATTTCAATTTAAAAACCTTCAAAAATGAGAAATCGAATCCCTTCGTATCTTCTTTCCCTTTGGAAACCGCAAAGTGTTCCATATTTTTGTTTTTAACACTTTTATGTCAAGTAAAAATAGATTTTCAAAGTACTATTTCCGAATTGAATTGCAGAATAACGTTTCCAATTATAAATGAATGAGGATGGCAACTGTATCAAGATGTAAAGTGTAAAAACATGTTCAAGTAATGGCAGCAATTTTTTATCCAACATAAATGCTACAACATCAGATTGGGACTTTGGACACTCAATATGTGGACCCCCCCCCCCTATGGAAGTGCTAATGGAGTGACGGCTATTTTAATTAAGAATCGCCGATGATAAAATAAATATATGAATTCGAAACCTACACACAAAAAAAATCTAATCATTTCTTTCCCGTTGTTGCGATTACGTTTCCCATCGGAAACTGCCAAATGTTCCGAGTCTATTTTTCACACATTTGTGTTACGTTATTATGGAATATGATTTTTAAAGTAATATCTCTAGCAAATGGATTGTAAATGTAACGTATTGCTTTTGTAAGTAAATGAGGTTGGCGACTGTATCATCATGTAATGTTAGATATAATACATTATAGTAATGTCAGCCATTGTTTATCTAACATGATGTCGTACTATTACAACAGATTGAGACTCTGGACATCCCCTCTGATGATCTCCGTGAACGTCCCAATGCATCACGTGACCTAGCTCAGTTCATCTGTAAGATGCTTCATCTGAAGAACCTGACACTTAATGGGAAGTACGAGGTCTTTCTTCACGATGACTTCTACTCAACATCATCGTCGATGGCATCATCAGCAAAGGTATGGATTCAGTGATACATTTTAGGACTCTAAGAAAGTTACTACATATTTGTTATACTTAAAGTGTACCCTTTCCTATATTGTCAAACGCAAGTGTACGATTTTACTCTCGTAATTGTTAAGATGAAGCAGGTAGGAAGATTTAAATGTTCATGGACGTGGATACGAAAAGTGAACTTTCTGTCATAATACAAAAACAGTCTGAAGATTTCAACAATGCTGGTGACTAATATATTATATAACATATTCTTAATTCCATATGATAATTCGAAATGCTACGGGAATGCTGATGGAGAGACGTCTATTTAAATTGTGAATGCCAATGAGACTAAATTATTTCAATTTAAAAACCTTCAAAAATGAAAAATCGAATTCCTTCGTCTCTTCTATCCCTTTGGAAACCGCAAAGTGTTCCATATTTTTGTTTTTACACTTTTATGTTATGTAAAAATAGATTTTCAAAGTACTATTTCCGAATTGAATTTCAGAATAACGTTTCCAATCATAAATGAATGAGGATGGCAACTGTATCAAGATGTAAAGTGTAAACACATTTTCAAGTCGAGTAATGGCAGCAATTTGTTATCCAACATAAATGCTACAACATCAGATTGGGACTTTGGACACTCAATATGTGGACCCCAGTGGCGTACGCAGGATTTTTTCAAGGGGGGGGTTTTAAAATCGGGTCCAAAATTTCGCAACGACTCAGGAAAATTTGAAAATCGCGCCGGCCAAAAAGTCGCTCAGTGGGGGGGGGGGGGGGGGGGGGGGGGGGGGGGGGGGGGGGGGGTATGCGGATACTTTTTTTTTGGGGGGGGGGAGTCCAAAAAAAATCGCAACGACTCAGCCAGCCGAAAAAGTCGCTCAGTGGGGGGGGGGGGGGGGGGGGGGGGGTAAGCGGACACTTTTTTTTTTTTTGGTCCCAAAAAAATCGCAACGACTCAACCGATCGCTGAAGAAGCGGGGGGGGGGGGGGGGGGGGGGGGGGGGGGGGGGGGGGGGGGGTAAGAGGACACTTTTTTTTTTGGTCTCGAAATTTGAAAATTTGACATTTTGCTCCGTTGGGGGGGGGGGGTAAGGTCACCTTCTTCGGTCATCGGTGGGGTAATTTTTTTTTTTTTTTTTTTTTTTTTTTTTAAATTAAAATAAATAAATAAATAAATAAATCCAAAGGGGGGGGGGGGGGTTTTAGTGATTTTTTAGGGGGGTTTACACACATAAAAATACCAAAGGGGGGGGGTTAACCTCCCAAACACCCCCCCTGCGTACGCGCCTGGTGGACCCCCCCCCCCCCTATGGAAGTGCTAATGGAGTGACGGCTATTTAATTAACAATCGCCGATGATAAAAGATATATTTGAATTCGAAACCTACACACACAAAAAATCTAATCATTTCTTTCCCGTTGTTGCGATTACGTTTCCCATCGGAAACTGCCAAATGTTCCGAGTCTATTTTTCACACATTTGTGTTACGTTATTATGGAATATGATTTTCAAAGTAATATCTCTATCAAATAAATTGTAAGAGTAACGTGAATGAGGTTGGCGACTGTATCATCATGTAATGTTAGATATAATACATTATAGTAATGTCAGCCATTGTTTATCTAACATGATGTCGTACTATTACAACAGATTGAGACTCTGGACATCCCCTCTGATGATCTCCGTGAACGTCCCAATGCATCACGTGATCTCGCTCAGTTCATCTTTAAGATGCCTCATCTGAAGAACCTGACATTTAGTGGTTTCTGTCACGATGACTTCTACTCAACATCATCGGAGATGGCATCATCAACAAAGGTATTGATTCGCTCATATATTTTAGGACACTAAGAAAATCACTACATATTTGTTATACTTTGTTATATGGAGAGACGTCCATTTAAATTGTGAATGCCAATGAGACTAAAATATTTCAATTTAAAAACCTTCAAAAATGAGAAATCGAATCCCTTCGTATCTTCTATCCCTTTGGAAACCGCAAAGTGTTCCATATTTTTGTTTTTACACTTTTATGTCATGTAAAAATAGATTTTCAAAGTACTATTTCCGAATTGAATTTCAGAAGAACGTTTCTAATGATAAATAAATAAGGAAGGCAACTGTATGAAGATGTAAAGTGTAAAAACATGTTCAAGTAATGGCAGCAATTTTTTATCCAACATAAATGCTACAACATCAGATTGGGACTTTGGACACTCAATATGTGGACCCCCCCCCTACCCTATGGAAGTGCTAATGGAGTGACGGCTATTTTAATTAACAATCGCCGATGATAAAAGAAATATATGAATTCGAAACCTACACACAAAACAAATCTAATCATTTCTTTCCCGTTGTTGCGATTACGTTTCCCATCGGAAACTGCCAAATGTTCCGAGTCTATTTTTCACACATTTGTGTTACGTTATTATGGAATATGATTTTTAAAGTAATATCTCTAGCAAATGGATTGTAAATGTAACGTATTGCTTTTGTAAGTAAATGAGGGTGGCGACTCTATCATCATGTAATGTTAGATATAATACATTATAGTAATGTCAGCCATTGTTTATCTAACATGATGTCGTACTATTACAACAGATTGAGACTCTGGACTTCTCCTATGATGATCTCCGTGAACGTCCCAATGCATCACGTGACCTAGCTCAGTTCATCTGTAAGATGCCTCGTCTGAAGAACCTGACATTCTGGGGTTCCTGTCACGATGACTTTTACTCAACGTCATCGGCGATGGCATTGTCTGCAAAGGTATTGATTCGCTCATAATCTTAAGGACTAAGAAAATCACTACATATTTGTTATACTGGAAGTGAACTCTTTTCTATATAGTCACACGGAAGTGGACAATTTTACTTTCGCGATTGGTACACCGTTAAGAGAAAACACGTAGGAAAATTGAACATCTGTCATAATACAAAAACACACTGAAGATTTTAACAATAATGGTGAACAATATATTTTATACCACTTTCTTTTAATTCCATGTGACAATTAGGAATGCTACGAGAATGCTGATGGAGAGGCGTCCATTGAAATAGTGAATGATGATAAGTCTAAATATGTTCATTTAAAAACCTACAAAAAGGAACAATCTAATCTCTTCGTCTTTTCTACCCCTTTGGAAACCGCAAAGTGGCACATGTTGTTTCACACTTTTATGTTATGGAAAATTGCTTTGGTAATCAATTGTTAGAATGACGTTTTGCTTTGTGAATGAATGAGGATGGCAACTGTTTCAAGATGTAAAGTGTAAAAATATGTTCAGGTCGTGTAATGTCAGCAATTGTTAATCAAAAATAATGCTACAATTATATCAGACTGGGACTTTGGACAATAAATATGTGGACCCCCCAATCTATGGAAGTGCTGGTGGGATGATGTTCCATGCTTTTTCAGAAATGAAGAAAAAATTGAGAAATTCCAAAAATAGATTTGTTGATGACGTTACACTTCACCACTCTATAGAAGTGCTGATTAGAGTGACGGCTATTTTAATTAAGAATTTCTGATGATAATGGATATATGAATTCAAAAATCTACCAAATAAAAATCGAATTTTTTCGTTCCAGTTGTTGTGATTGTGTTTTCCATCGGAAACTGGCAAATGTTCTGAATCTATTTTTCACATATTTGTGTTACGTTATAAAGAAATATAATTGCAAAAGTAATATCTCTATCAATAGATTGTAAGAGTAAGGTATTGCTTTTAAGTGAATGAGGGTGGCGACTGTATAATGCAAGATACAATTCAGTATAGTAATTTCAGCAATTGTTTATCCAACATGATGTCGTACTATTACAACAGATTAAGACTCTGGTCATCTCTGGTCATCTCAGTAAACGTCCCAATTCATCACGTCATCTCGCTCAGTTCATCTTTACGATGCCTCATCTGAAGAACCTGACACTCGGTGGTTACTATCACGATGACTTCTACTCAACATCATCGGTGATGGCATCATCAGGAACGGTATTGGTTCGATCATATATATTAGGAATCTCAGAAATTCACTTCATATTTGTTATACTTGAAGTGTACCCTTTTCTGTATAGTCACACATATTAAAGTGGACTAGTTTACTCTCGCAATTTGTACACAGTTGAGAGGAAGCAGGTAGGAAAAGTAACGTTTCATGAAGAGGATGCGAAAAAAAATGTCCGTCATAAAACAAAACAAAAACTGAAGCTTTTAAGATTGATAGTGAATAATACATACCATTTTTCTCATTTCATATGACAATTGGAGGTGCTACGGAATTGCTGATGGATAGACGGCTATTTCAATTGTGAATACTGATGAGACTAAATACTTGAATTTAAAAGTCTACAAAAATGTAAAGTGAACCTCTTATTACCCGTTTTTTTTCGAATCTGTAACATGTTAAAATCTGCCAAGTCTTAGTTAAATTAGGTTTGTTACAGTACTTTTTCAATCAAATGTCAGAATGACATATTGCTTTTGTCAATGAATGAGGTTGGCACTTAATTATGATGTAATATTTAACAATATTTGTAAGTAGTGTAATGTCAGCAACTGTTTATCTAACATAGTGTTACTATTATAACATATTAAGATATGACATCCGATATGTGAATCATCCCCCTCCCCCCCCCCCTCTCACTCATTCAGACGTGAAATATTATACAAATAACGCACGGCTCAGAGTGCAAAAGCGGTGAATGCAGTACGCGCGAGGTTTCTTTAAATTGGTGCCGGTCTGTGCAACGAGCCGCTTGCGGCGAGTTCACAGTGCAAACCATCTGAAGAAACCGAGCGTACACTGCATTTACGTTATTCGCACAACAGGGTCAAGTGCGTTATTTGTTTTTTTTATAAATTAGCGACATAGAGGGTCTAAATCAAAACAAACAAAATACATCAGACAGCTGAAATTCTTGGCTTCATTATAAAATCCAAAAGTCAAAACAGGCCTAAATCCAAGGCAAAAGTAAAATAAAAATTTGCTTTCTAGTAATAATACCCCGCTCTAGCTAGCTAGCTAGCTAGAGCTAAGCTACGCGTACGCTGCGCTGGGGATCATGGTGGGGCGTACATATTAGCTACGCGTAGCCTATAGCCTACAATGCACTCGAGGGAGCGTACTAGTACTACACGTACGCGCGCGCGCTGGATATCCATGGTAACGTGTATTATCACTTTTTGTGCGCTTTTTTGGCAAAAGCGTGCTTGCATCAAAAATGTGTGCATGTCAGGTGACGCGTATTGACCAATCACGATGCTTAAAATACTAGAGCCATTGTATAAAATAGGGTATAAGATAACCGGATCATATTCGCCGGGGGAAGGAATTCCCTCTTTTTCTGACAATCATGTCTATACAACTATTATTATTATTATTATTACAAATATAGCTCAAGTTTTTTCTTCAAGGGTAGTGTGATTAAGGAATGGTTTACTATCGTTTTGTCTTCTCGTTTAATTCTTTTTCTGTAAGACTTAAGATCATGAGCGACGTCTTTCATTCATATTTAATCACTACTCCCTCTCTCAACAGATCAATATGATCTAGAAAATATCCTTTTCTTTATCCGTCTTGCCAACAGTCCCGATTGCAGCAATGAAAAAACTATTGATCACCTATAGGTTTTCCCGCCCAACTTCGTAAACTTAGCATCCGAATTAACGTTACGTTCATTCAAGTTCGTGCGAAATTGAATCACTATGTAGATCAACATTCAAAAAGCTAATTGCGTCGTTCAATTTGATTAAGTAGCATGCGATTTCATACTCTTGTCACGGAGACGTGCAAAACGAGCATTCAATTTAGAAAAGCATGCAAAGAGCGTTCAAATTCGTGTCGGACAGACGGTGGTATGTATTCGAGCATTCAATTTCGTGATTAGGCATTCATATGTGATATTTGTGCATTGCTTTTCATTTGATGTCAATTTGTCACTTAATATACTTCTGTTTGAATAATTTAATGCTAACTTGTAGGAATGATTATGCGTATTCGTTAGCAGATATCTGTCATTACACAGGTAACTGTCCCCAAAGAAGGCGCACAATTTGTGACTTCTCTTCTTCTTGTAAGAACAAGCTATATAATAATACACATATCCTGGACAGCGGTAGAGTTGAGCTTTAGACATGGCCATGATGGAAACAAAATACAATAATGTATAAAGAAAAATATGTGAAATGAAAAGAAAGAAAGATAACCCACTCAATCCACATTGATAAAAAAAAAACATTTAAAAAATAACCTCATTTACAATGAAAGATACGAAGACATGACTGTATAAAGAAATGTTTCATCAAAAATAAAGATCGAAAGAAAGAGAAAATATTGAATGCACGATAAATATATCAGACAAATAAGAAGATTGTATAATGTGAAATCATGTCAGAAAAGATCATAGAGAAAAATAAAAAACAAATTAGCATAAAAAAGTGAATATCCGAATAAACATCGAGCCTCATACAATAATTATGAGGTCTAGTTTTAATTTGAATGACCCGATTGCGAAAGAGGTTGCCCATAGACGAAAATGAAACCGCAATTCGACAAAGAATTGTCCTCCCACTCAATTTTGGCGAAATTGAATGACGCTAACGCATTTCCAAATTGACTGAACCAAACGTTAATTTGAATGTGCATGTTTCGAAAATTCAGTGACTCGAAACGAAATTGAATGCAAAAAATTTAAAAATGAAACAGGGGATCAACGAGTGGAGATATTCGCTCAAATATGAATGCACGTTAGTAAAATTGATCGCTGCTTTGACGAAATTGGCCGGGAAAAACCTATATTACCCATCATTATTTAATTAACACTAGTATTATGCATTATATCGGTCTCAAAAGAATCTAGAAACTATTCAAATGCGTGCTAATTTTAGGTGTCAAGACTTGTAAGCTCATTTCAAAATACAATGTGATTGTGTTAAGATTTTTTAGTTTCGGCAACGTTATTTACGGAAGCCCATTAGTGCCACCTACGAAATAAATTTAAGAGAAATTATCTGGCGGCCGCCAGATAATTATCTGGCGGCCGCCACTTAATTATCTGGCGGCCGCCAGTTAATTATCTGGCGGCCGCCAGTTAATTATCTGGCGGCCGCCAGTTAATTATCTGGCGGCCGCCAGATAATTATCTGGCGGCCGCCAGATAATTATCCGTGTCTTCACGGTTGTTTCATCGCAAAGCATGCCGGGACATAATTCTAGTACATTTTTACCTTCGCCGTGATCAGCTGTCCCGTTGCAAACAACGGGATTCTTATCGAAGCAACATCTTAATCTTGTACATAATCCGCTATTCTGCAGTGATTTTCTTTCACTCCAGTATCGTTTATACGGTAAGAAACCAAAGTTTGTGTTTATTCATTTTTATGACGAATAAAGCTGATAATACGACGTAATGCATGAGAGTGGGCCCGGTCAAGCTTTAGTAAATGTAGGCCTAGACCTCTAGATCTAGTCCCGTATGTTTAAATGTGTGTGCATTTTAAGTAGACTGATTGCCTTGTGTCTTAGGTAGAAGTTAACCAAATTTACAGTAAAATGAGACTTATGTCTCAGGAAATATGAATAGGTCTAGATCCTATAGACTATACATATTTGATATTGGAATAGGATCTACTAGAATGGCCGACAGTTGGATAGTGATGGCAATTAGTAAATGTAAAAAAGTAAACGATAGATTTGTCGATCTTGATCTGAATATAATAGTCTATGTATTGATGAGCTCTACTTGAGGATCTACATGACAGGGGCGTATGAAGGAATTTTTCGAGGGGGGGGGGGGGGGTTAAAATTTGAAAATCGTGCCGAAAATTTCACATCGACTCAGCCAGCCGGTGAATGAGAGGGGGGGGGGGGGGTCGGTTAGAGCATCTATTTTTTCCCGAAAATATGAATTTGGCAGACCGATATTTTGTTCAGTTGATGGTAAGGTCACCTTTTTGGGGTCACCCTTTTGGGGTCACCCTTTAGCACAAAAATATTTCCCCATGATCTAGTGTGATAAGGGTTCTTTTGTTACCGTTATTCTTCAGGTTACAAACTTAAATTTGATTGTCTTTTTCCTTTTATTTATCAGTTGCAGCATCATCAAACACTATATGGCCGATGAATCAGAAGATGACGTAGATGCTACGAGAGAGCTCATTTCACAATGGACAACAGAAGTGATACGTGACTTTCTACAAGGAGGGGACTCAAGCTTGGAGAAGTCATTATTTTATGGGTGTTCTGCCCTGACGCTGGGGGTACTGTTCAGCCATTCGAGGTAGAGAGGTAGAGAGGAACTGGACGATGGATGGATGGGGGGGGGGGGGCGGGAAGAAAGGCATGTAGAGATGGCCGTCTACTATGTATAGAGACATTTGTGTGCTACTGGATAAGGACCCTCCATCACTAGAGGGAAGAATAATGAGAGACTACAAAGAGGGGAAGGCATTTAGTTATTTTAGAAAGCTGTCTGAAATTCAAAATGTATTTGATACTTGAATAAATTTAGTTCATTTTCTAGACTGGTTCATGTCAAACCGTTGATTCTACTTTCTTGTGAGTATACACTGTAGTCAGAGAGAAAGAGAAGTAACACGAGTAAAGAATGAAAATTGAAAAAGAAGCCAATATTTGAACGAGGAGGAGAAAATGGAGATTACGTTGTTGCCCATCAAGTTGGAATAATTGTTCTTACTGTTTGTACATAATGGTCATATATTATAAGAACTGTATTGATCAATCTCAGGAGTCTTATACATGTAGATTGATTAATACAGTTTTGAGATGATGATGATGATCGTGATGATGAACGAGAAGGAGAAGAGGAGGAATATATCAAGAGTTGATGAAGAAAAGATTGATAGAGGGGTTATCATTACAGAGAGAGAGAAAGAGAGATAGACTAACATGAGGAAGGGAGAGCAAGAACAAGGCTATGACATAGGGGAAGAGATAGAAATCAAAATTATATTTATAAAAACATTTACTAAATTAAAATAATAAATTAGAATACAAGGCGAGAGGAAAGAATGCAAACTAAAATTAAGCAAAGACCATCACTATATCGTTCACATTATAATATAAATTAAGAAAAGGTACATGGAAACGTACATTTGTAAAATTCAATCTTTCATTCTCTTGATCTTCCTCTTCACACCTAATTCTTGCTCTCCCTGTCTATCTCTCCCACCCCTCTCCGTCTCTCTCTCTCTCTCTCTCTCTCTCTCTTTCTCTCCCCCTCTCTCTCTCCTTATTATCACTCTTTCTCTTTCATTAAGTGTCGTCATCTCTCTCAATGCCTCTCTCTGTTTCTATGTTTCTCTTGTTAAATATTTTAAACATCAGGTGTGTCTGACCTTCCTCTCTTGAATAAATCATGAATAACTTCAACTCAGTGTCCTACATACAGTAATGATTGCTTAGTAGTCATGTACAACCCTCGCTGTGTTGTTTGATTTTATTTATAAAATAAATATAACCATGAGATCAATATCAACAGGTTTAATGCAATGCATATAAGTTGACATCCTATGAAGAAGTAGTACCACCCCCGCCCCCCCCCCCCCCCCACCACTCCGGGAACGGAGGTACCGCATGCGTGTTCCCAAATTCTCTGGCTCGTAACAAAATTAAAAAAATTAAAATATAAAAAAAAAACGCTACTTTTAAAGTACTTACCACCAAAATCTCTAAGCGCTATAACAAACAAAAATAGACTGATAAACAATTACATATTAAACAAAACAAAAAAAGTGTGAATAAACCTACAAATTACAATACCCTAAATAACACTGAGTTGGGTGGGGGGGGGGGGGGGTACCACCTTTAATGCAAATGCATTTAAAGGGATCCGGTAACTTCATCTCAGATTCTGAAACAAAATCCTGGATTTAGCTCATGCTGCAATGATAATTTTAGGTCAGTCAAGAACTCAATGACTTTTACAATCCAATCGCCTGTCTGATTATCAAGATATTTACGACTGGAAAAAAAATGTACTAGAATTATGTCCCGGCATGCTTTGCGATGAAACAACCGTGAAGACACGGATAATTATCTGGCGGCCGCCAGATAATTATCTGGCGGCCGCCAGTTAATTATCTGGCGGCCGCCAGTTATTTATCTGGCGGCCGCCAGTTAATTATCTGGCGGCCGCCAGTTAATTATCTGGCGGCCGCCAGTTATTTATCTGGCGGCCGCCAGTTAATTATCTGGCGGCCGCCAGTTAATTATCTGGCGGCCGCCAGTTAATTATCTGGCGGCCGCCAGTTAATTATCTGGCGGCCGCCAGTTAATTATCTGGCGGCCGCCAGATAATTATCCGTGTCTTCACGGTTGTTTCATCGCAAAGCATGCCGGGACATAATTCTAGTACATTTTTAACTTCGCCGTGATCAGCTGTTCCGTTGCAAACAACGGGATTCTTATCGAAGCAACATCTTAATCTTGTACATAATCCGCTATTCTGCAGTGATTTTCTTTCACTCCAGTATCATTTGTACGGTAAGAAACCAAATTTTGTGTTTATTCATTTTTATGACGAATAAAGCTGATAATACGACGTAATGAGAGTGGGCCGGGGTCCAACTTTAGTAAATGTAGGCCTAGATCTAACTTTAGTCCCGTATGTTTAAATGTGTGTGCATTTTAAGTAAACTGATTGCCTTGTGTTTTAGGTAGAAGTTAACCAAATTTACAGTAAAATGAGACTTATGTCTCAGGAAATATGAATAGGTCTAGATCCTATAAACTATACATAATTGATATTGGAATAGGATCTACTAGAATGGCCGACAGTTAGATAGTGATGGTGATGGCAAATGAATTGGTCTAGACTCTAGGCCCTAAATGTAAAACAAGTAAAAAAGAGGCCATAAAAACGATAGATTTGTCGATCTGGATCTGGATATCAGGCGCGTACGCAGGGGGGGGGGGGTGTTTTGGGGGTTAAACCCCCCCCCCCCCCTTTGGCATTTTTTACGTGTGTATTTTTAAGAAAACCCCCCTAAAACCCCCCTTTGTTTTGTTTAAAACCCCCCTTGAAAAAATCCTGCGTACGCCCCTGCTGGATATAATAGTCTGATATCGATGACCTCAACTTGAGCATCTACATGGGTCTACATGAACTTGTGTTAAAGAAGTGATAAGGATTCTTTTGTTACAATTATTCTTGTGGTCACAAACTTAAATTTGACATGCCTTTCTCCTTTTATTTATCAGTTGCAGCATCATCGAACACGATGACCAATGAATCAGAAGATGACGTAGATGTTACTAAAGAGCTCATTTCACAATGGACAACAGAAGTGCTACGTGACTTTCTACAAGGAGGAGACTCAAGCTTGCAAACCGAGGAGTCATTATTTTATGGGTGTTCTCTGCCGGCTGCCTTAACGCTGGGGGTAGCTTTTTAGCCATACGAGGTTAAGACTGAGAGGAACTGGACAATGGATGGATAGGGAGGATGGGGGGGGGGGGGGTAGGAATGCAGAACTGGCCTACTATGTATGTACCTACTGGATAAGGACCCTCCATCACTAGAGGGAAAAATAATGAGAGACTTCAAAGAGGGGAAGGCATATAGTTAATTTTGCCTTGTGAAAAAAATTAGATTTAGCCCCTAAAAAAGCGTTCCTTCGGGTATCAAATGATGACAGGTAAAACCTTACAATTGTAGAATTATTATCTGTAATGTGATTTCCAAACCATGTGACAGCCAATGGTGTATGTTGTAAAGGTATTGTAAAATGCATTGTTTAACACCAGGCCCCCCCCCCCCCCCCCACTCCGAGAACAGATGGACCCCATGCATGTTACCAAAATGTCCGGTAAAGGGGTACTTTTCGTGTGACAAAGTCCGGCCCGAGAATTGTACAAAAAGTGGTGTATTAACTTTTCACCCGGAGATTTCTTTAAAAAGGGGGTATTTTTTCTTTATTTTATCTCTTTGGACTCCTGAGAAATTATTCCGAATTTAGGGGGGTACATTGAGCATTTTTCATGATTTAGAGGAGTCTCCAAGGCAGGAAAAGCCCGCGAAAGGGGGGTTCGGAAATGTTGGCAGTCCTCAGATAGGGGGTGCTTTCAAAAAGAGGGAACAAGCATATGCGTACCCTAAATAACACTGAGTGGGGGGGGGGGGCCGGGGTTTAACAATGTTTAATTCGAGATTGACGTATGGCCCTACGCGCTACCAGTGTCTGCGATATGGTGTATTAATACTGAAGCCCTAACAAAACTGCGCTTCAAAATGATCAAGAAGTGCCTCAAAAAAATAAAAATCTTTGATTGACCCCTTTACCACACTCGTTTTCCCCAATAGACTTGTAGTGTTATGAAAAGCGTTTGACAAACCCAAAATTTGGTTTCGATTTCCAATCGTAAATATCTTGATAATCAGACAGGCGATTGGATTGTAAAAGTCATTGAGTTCTTGACTGACCTAAAATTATCATTGCAGCATGAGCTAAATCCAGGATTTTGTTTCAGAATCTGAGATGAAGTTACCGGATCCCTTTAAATGCGTTTGCATTAAAGGTGGTACCCCCCCCCCCAACTCAGTGTTATTTAGGGTAAGCACATGCGTGTTCCCAGCACCCCCCCCCCCCTTCCCTTTTTTTAGCATAAGTCCCCTGTGTTAAGTCAATACGGGCAGATCTTTTTCATTGCAAAACTCCAGAGAATCCAAAACTCTGCTGCCAGGCTCTGTTCACTTTGATGTACATGTACGGTATATGTATTGTAATTTGTAGGTTTATTCACACTTTTTTCGTTTTGTTTAATATGTAATTGTTTATCAGTCTATTTTTGTTTGTTATAGCGCTTAGAGATTTTGGTGGTAAGCGCTTTAAAAGTAGCGTTTTTTTTATATTTTAATTTTTTAAATTTTGTTACGAGCCAGAGATTTTGGGAACACGCATGCGGTACCTCCGTTCCCGGAGTGGTGGGGGGGGGGCGGGGTTGGTACTACTTCTTCATAGGATGTCAACTTATATGCATTGCATTAAACCTGTTGATATTGATCTCATTCTTATATTTATTTTATAAATAAAATCAAACAACACAGCGAGGGTTGTAGATGACTACTAAGCAATCATTACTGTATGTAGGACACTGAGTTGAAGTTATTCATGATTTATTCAAGAGAGGAAGGTCAGACAGACCTGATGTTTAAAATATTTAACAAGAGAAACATAGAAACAGAGAGAGGCATTGAGAGAGATGTCGACACTTAATGAAAGAGAAAGAGTGATAATAAGGAGAGAGAGAGATGGAGAGGGGTGGGAGAGATAGACAGGGAGAGCAAGAATTAGGTGTGAAGAGGAAGATCAAGAGAATGAAAGATTGAATTTTACAAATGTACATGTTTCCATGTACCTTTTCTTAATTTATATTATAATGTGAACGATATAGTGATGGTCTTTGCTTAATTTTAGTTTGCATTCTTTCCTCTCGCCTTGTATTCTAATTTATTATTTTAATTTAGTAAATGTTTGTATAAATATAATTTTGATTTCTATCTCTTCCCCTATGTCATAGCCTTGTTCTTGCTCTCCCTTCCTCATGTTAGTCTATCTCTCTTTCTCTCTCTCTGTAATGATAACCCCTCTATCAATCTTTTCTTCATCAACTCTTGATATATTCCTCCTCTTCTCCTTCTCGTTCATCATCACGATCATCATCATCATCTCAAAACTGTATTAATCAATCTACATGTATAAGACTCCTGAGATTGATCAATACAGTTCTTATAATATATGACCATTATGTACAAACAGTAAGAACAATTATTCCAACTTGATGGGCAACAACGTAATCTCCATTTTCTCCTCGTTCAAATATTGGCTTCTTTTTCAATTTTCATTCTTTACTCGTGTTACTTCTCTTTCTCTCTGACTACAGTGTATACTCACAAGAAAGTAGAATCAACGGTTTGACATGAACCAGTCTAGAAAATGAACTAAATTTATTCAAGTATCAAATACATTTTGAATTTCAGACAGCTTTCTCCCAGGAGATGAAACAAATGTCTCCCTAACCAGAAACTGGCAAAATAACTAAATGCCTTCCCCTCTTTGTAGTCTCTCATTATTCTTCCCTCTAGTGATGGAGGGTCCTTATCCAGTAGCACACAAATGTCTCTATACATAGTAGACGGCCATCTCTACATGCCTTTCTTCCCGCCCCCCCCCCCCATCCATCCATCGTCCAGTTCCTCTCTACCTCTCTACCTCGAATGGCTGAACAGTACCCCCAGCGTCAGGGCAGAACACCCATAAAATAATGACTTCTCCAAGCTTGAGTCCCCTCCTTGTAGAAAGTCACGTATCACTTCTGTTGTCCATTGTGAAATGAGCTCTCTCGTAGCATCTACGTCATCTTCTGATTCATCGGCCATATAGTGTTTGATGATGCTGCAACTGATAAATAAAAGGAAAAAGACAATCAAATTTAAATTTGTAACCTGAAGAATAACGGTAACAAAAGAACCCTTATCGCACTAGATCATGGGGAAATATTTTTGTGCTAAAGGGTGACCCCAAAAGGGTGACCCCAAAAAGGTGACCTTACCCTCAACTGAACAAAATATCGGTCTGCCAAATTCATATTTTCGGGAAAAAATAGATGCTCTAACCGACCCCCCCCCCCCCCCCCCCTCTCATTCACCGGCTGGCTGAGTCGATGTGAAATTTACGGCACGATTTACAAATTTTAACCCCCCCCCCTCGAAAAATTCCTTCATACGCCCCTGTCATGTAGATCCTCAAGTAGAGCTCATCAATACATAGACTATTATATTCAGATCAAGATCGACAAATCTATCGTTTTCATGGCCTCTTTTACTTTTTTACATTTACTAATTGCCATCACTATCCAACTGTTCGGCCATTCTAGTAGATCCTATTCCAATATCAAATATGTATAGTCTATAGGATCTAGACCTATTCATATTTCCTGAGACATAAGTCTCATTTTACTGTAAATTTGGTTAACTTCTACCTAAAACACAAGGCAATCAGTCTACTTAAAATGCACACAGTGACACACATTTAAACATACGGGACTAGATCTAGAGGTCTAGGCCTACATTTACTAAAGCTTGACCCGGCCCACTCTCATGCATTACGTCGTATTATCAGCTTTATTCGTCATAAAAATGAATGAACACAAACTTTGGTTTCTTACCGTACAAACGATACTGGAGTGAAAGAAAATCACTGCAGAATAGCGGATTATGTACAAGATTAAGATGTTGCTTCGATAAGAATCCCGTTGTTTGCAACGGGACAGCTGATCACGGCGAAGTTAAAAATGTACTAGAATTATGTCCCGGCATGCTTTGCGATGAAACAACCGTGAAGAGACGGATAATTATCTGGCGGCCGCCAGATAATTATCTGGCGGCCGCCAGATAATTTCTCTTAAATTTATTTCGTAGGTGGCACTAATGGGCTTCCGTAGTTATTAATATAATTAAAAAACATATTGCTGAATTCTGAATATATATTTAATGGGTTGAACGTCCCTCTGCATCATGTGATCTCGCTCAGTTCATATGTAAGATGACTCATCTGAAGGACCTGACACTTGGCGGTCAGTACCACAATGACTTCTACTCAACATCTTCGTCGATGGCATCATCTGCAAAGGTTGACCTATGACCTATGACCTGAAATATGATCTTAAATTGTAGGACTCGTAACAAATCACTACATGCTTTGTTATACTGGAAGTGTACTTTATTCTGTATAGTCTAACGAAATTTGACAATTCGCCCGCCTTCCTCCCGAAAGGCCTATGCATTATACCACACAACAATAAACATCTGTTAAGACCAAACATTGCTTCAAAAGCTAAATGTTATGGTGGTATATTTGTACCTGTAATCAGGTTTATTATTAAATATCTGTTAATTATGCAGTAAAGTTTTACATCGGACATTCTTAAACGGTCCACTATATATCACAATTCAAGTAATATTATTAATTCACACTACACTACACTACATTACATCGATAAAGGTTTAAATGTACTTGTGAATTAAAATTATATAGTTTGTAAGCACTTTCATTATTACTATTTCAAACTCTAATACATGTATGCCAGTTACATTGTATTTGATCATTGTATAATAATAATAATAATAATAATAGCCTAATAGTCCACTCCAAATTTTATTAAACCGAAACGGAAATTCTTTTGCCCGGAATAATTGCATTTGACTGATTTGAAATTATTTAGTAGGTGTTCATCCTAACGTATACTAAATTAGACTGGTCTTCGTTTCATTGAATCTACGAACGGTACTTGCCGTCAACATATTCATATTGGTAAATAATGAATGATATACATGTACAATTGAATTGTATGAAAGAAAAACAAAATGTTTATAACTTGTAACTTATACTTGCATTTGCAAATAAAACCGTCTTTCATTTTCTCGGCCCATGTCTTTTTATAATCCTTGTTTATATTCTATAATACCCATGAGGCTAGCAAAATCCATTTTCTTGTTTTTTGTCGTTTTTTTCATGAAACTTAAGAATGCAATTATATATCTACCAACAATCGAACCTACTACATTTGATATTGCACTTTAATTTCCCTTTTTTATGTACATGATCACGACCAGAGTGGTAACACGAGCCCCACCCTGTCTGAGCTGACAGTGGATGATAACACACTACGAAGATGGCAGGATTGTGGTTCGATGTTTGACAATGTGAAGAGGGTCACTATACAGGTATACAACTCAATCAGCTATGACGTCATCCAGAGGATCCATCTACCAGGAGCAACAGAACTCACCATACAAACACATGAGTATGCAGATCGACCGGCTGGTTTCCATGAGGAGCCCACTTCACTACCCAATGCCCTCCTGAATATCTCCCCTCAGCTTGTCAAGGTGACATTCAGCGATCTTGCCATTGGTAACAGTAAGATGGAACTAATCTTACAAGCTTCCAGATCACCCCACAACCTCAAACATCTGAAGACTATCAGGTAAGACACATTGAGCTTTCAAAGAGCACTTTGACACTTTTCTTCTTTTGATTCTCCACTCCCCGTCTGGAAATTGAAGAAAATGTGCGTTTCTTTGAATTGAACAGAGTGTGTCTCCCCCTTTCTCTTCCTCTCTGTCTCTCTCTTTTTATGTCTCTCTCTCTCTCTCTCTCTCTCTCTCTACATATATATCTCTCAATGTTTGATTTGATATTATCAGAATCGATTTGAATTTAAAGATGAAAAAACATCAATACCAACATGAGTAGGCCTATATACTGAGGATGAATAGCTCTGCTCATCTGTACCACGCATTACAGTTGTTCGACTAATTGAGTGGTCTACATGACAAACAAATAAGATACAAAGTTACATCATTATGAACAGCTATATTACAAACATTGCTAACTCCTGTAACAAGCCCCCATCCCTAATTATTTTACACAGATGATACTGTATTCCGTCTATTTTGATATTGATAGATTCGTAAGATGCTGGACAGATGTGAGCGTGAATGATGTCACCACTGCATGGAATGAAGACAACGTCATGGCGGTGGAGGTGGAGCACGGCAAACCACGTGGGTAAGTCATTAGAACTTTAACTTTTAGACTTGCATAGACATCAATCTCTGCATAACATTTTTGTATGACTGCATGTCTCTTAAATCCTCTGCGAAAATCAGTGCTTGTTATCATACGCACGATCACAGGTATTTTGTTCATCTTAGGAAGGATGTGCAAAATTAAAAGCCGCCTTCCTCTTTTGTTAAATTTAACGACTTACTGGCTGACTAGAATGCAGCACGAATAAAGTCTAGTGTTAGAATTAGTGGGAGACAAGCACGCATGCTCGTCTCCTCAAGCCAGTCGTTTCTGATATTCATTCAGACGCGAGGTCTGCTCAAAGGGCATGTGTTTTGATATACAGAAAAAAACATGTAGTTCATTCCCGTCTCGGGAGAGGGGGGGAAGGAGGGTTGTTGAAGAATTGTTTCACATGAAAAGAAAGGCTATTGACATACAGAAATATGTTTTTTTTTCTTTCTTTTTTTCTTCTATTTGTGTGTTTATCGATAATAATACAAACTTACATTATGTACCACTCATGATCTGACATAAATCAATCTGTGCAAAATGTAACAGAGAGTCAACATAGGCATGTACATAATAATAATATTCCATTGTAAATTTCTACTAATGATCATTATCTATATAAGGCTTCCAAGTGGTACAATAAATCATTGTATTTAATATCTTTAATATCTTAATATCGCAGTACTCGGATGACAGATCGCTATTGTTTTCGTACTGCTCTGTCATCCGGGAACTTCAATTGTCGATACAATATTGCTTGATTATCAAAAATCAACAACACTTTCGCTGGTACCCGGTCACTGTACCCAATGTGCAAAATTGGTCAGCCTGATATAGATAATAATAATAATAGTATTGTATGGCTTTGTTTTCGTGCGATACATGAATATAATGCTCTCGCTGTGCCAATATTGGACTCGTCTTCGACTCGTCCAATATGACTCGTCCAATACTGTCATAGCGAGAGCAATATCATTTTTGGATCACACTCAAATCCATCCAATATTATATAAATATTCCAATGTGCCATTGGAAAAATATAGGCCGGATTCTAGAAGTGATGAAAGTAAAGGTATTTATTCTTTTTTAACATGATAACATGTAGACCTATTTATTTAATTGATTCTCGCATTTTTGTACTATTATGTTTTCTACGTAATAGATAACATGTTAGTTCAAGTGGTGCTGTTTGACGTAAAACTGTGTAATATTCAATAGCTCTTCTTTGTCCTCTGTCTACTGCTGTATGTATGTGATTATTTTGATGTAGCGCTGCTTCTATATATTATATTGATGCACACATTAACACTTCTCTCTCTCTCTCTCTCTCTCTCTCCCTCTCTTTCTCATTCACTTCAGTAAAAATTTTCGTCATTGATATTGAGTAATCAAACAGATGACACCTATCTCGATCTGACGAATCAGAGGGATCAGACGATATTTGCTCGCTAACAGGAACTATGGGCTGAAGTGAAGAGTACATAAAACACATCATTATAGGCCTATCATATAATCACTCAACGTTTAATTTGAAATCTGGACTTTCGCTATTATAAATACAACTGTCATGCAATCGCGTTACTGACCCAACGAATCACGTTGATGGGAATTCTTTACATAGGTTTTGTGGCTCTTTTTCTTTTATTGAAAAAATCATGATTTTGAATTCCCTTTGAACTGTTATTCTCAGTATCATTAAGTAGTTCAGGATTCAGGAAGAATTTACACTTTATTTTTTTGTAAAAGGGCCAAAATGTTTTTAATAAATTCTGAACGTTTGGTGGCAAAACATTCATGGTGTGAAAAAATACAGTCATGTTCTTTTCTAATTTGAATTTTGCAACTGGCAGTGTTTCATTCAAAACATTTGTTGTGTACAAAATGAAGGCCCCAAATTTCCATTATAGATATAAAACCACAGTATGTTGATCTTAAATTTGGCACACACTTTCATAAAATTGCTGCTACAGATAAAATTTGAGATAAGTTTCTGATGGCTTGCAAATTGCTTGCCTTTAAACATATACATGTATATAATGAAATTAAATGTGTTCTCGTGGAAGAAGAGCCTGCTCAGTTCATCATGGACATTTGACAAATCTTCATAATTGGGACGTCTGTAAATAAGGTGATGAGTTGATATGAGATTTCATTGTGAAGAGAATCGGATAGAATAATAATTTGGTTGTCGATGTTTGCCTACCCGCAAATCAGAATCCATCAGAGTGTTCAATGTCATGGACGGATGAAAGACCAACACTAAATATCCGATCAGGCTTATATAGGACAGAGAGTCATTCACGCTATAGTCACGTGACTTTTGAAAATACCAGTTCTTCTTTAATCTTAGTATCTGCAACAATGTTGCCTGCCTTGTTAATCAGCTGTAAATACTCTAGCGTCTTCCTAAGATTTATTTAGAATGGATAATACGTTTAATATCGTTCAGAATTATTTGTGTGATTAGCGCAGTAGAGTATATTTATATAGTGGCTGCGCTATATAAATTGATTCTATTATTGTAATTGCATTGGAGCTCAGTGCACATGAGGCGGATTTTACCTAGTGTATGACTGCGTCAGCGAATTGCGTACAAATTGACGCACTATGCGAGTTCGTTACACAAAGTGAGTGCATTATTAATGGTGCAAACCTTTCTTCGAATTAAGGGCGCCATTCCTAACTCAATCATCTCAATCGGTTAGCGGAGGTCTTAATGCAATGTCAACACTGCTTTGTGTGCAATGAACATTGCTTTCAAATGATGTATGTGCCAATAGAATCAATCATCTGTTATGATTTATTCATTACGTTTATTTTTAAACAGCGTGGTCTTTTCAGACGCAGAAGGCTTGTTTTTAATTAAACATTTGGATGTATTTTTTTCTACAAAGATATTTTATAATTATAAACAGAAAACATATGCAATGGCAGTAATTGGCGGTCTTAAAAGCAATTGTATACAGGCGCGTACACAGGGGGGGGGGGGGGTTGGGGGTTAACCCCCCCCCCCCCCCCTTTGGTATTTTTTATGTGTGTATTTTTGACGAAAACCCCCCCTTTGGTAATTTTTTGTTTTGTTTTTAATAAAAAAAATATTTAAACAAAAAAAAAATTATACCAATGACTGACCTAAAAAAGTTGACCTTAACCCCCCCCCCCCCCCCAACGGAGCAAAATGTCAAATTTTCAAATTCCGAGACCAAAAAAAAAAAAAAGTGTCCTCTTACCCCCACCCCCCCCCCCCTTATTCAGTGGCTGGCTGAGTCGTTGCGAAATTTTCGGCCCGATTTCAAAATGTTAAACCCCCCCCCCCCCTTGAAAAAATCCTGCGTACGCCACTTATTGTACATATCAAATAATGTAACGAAAAGAAATTGAATAATGAACAATAAAATGAATGTATACTCAAAACAAACAAACGAATATTTGGATTGTAAACTAAGAAACGATTTTAGCATTCAGATGTGCAAATTGACGATAATTTTAGTATCAGTTGTAATGTAATTTTACAAAAACACAAGAGTGTTACAGTAAAATGTTCTTAGCTGTATCCACAACCAGAAATTAAAGGAAATGTGACTAGTCATGTATCCTTCATGTCCCCTTTAAAAAAGACAATGAAGACAACATTTCTTTCACAAATATAACGCTGTATTTTTTTGTTATCCAGTATATTTTATGTATGAACTCTTGCATGTGTTACGTGAAAGGTTTGTTTGTATTTAACAGTTTGATTTGGAAAGGGAAACTGTCTTGTCTGATATATATATATATGTATACATATATGAGTTGTTACTTTTAACTGCAGATAATTTGTAAATAACGTAGCCAAATGATCGGTGCCCATACAAAGGAGTGTCCTTGCAACGCAAATTATTAATCACTGACTAAGTATAAATGTATAGGAACGTCAAATATCAAAGCAAATGTTTTTATTCTTCAAGTTTAACTATTGATTGAACACCATTAAATTCGATGCAAGAACAGCATTAAGTTATTTCACGAAGCATCAAACTTAATATTCGGAATACATTTCTGAACTTTCTGTAATCATGGTAAATGTGCACTGAGACATTTTTGCATTTTGCGAAAAGCCCAATGTATCACTATAAATGGTAGTATAGTAGTAGTAGTAGTAGTAATAGTAGTAGTAGTAGTAGTAGTAGTAGTAGTAGTAGTAGTGTTAGTAGAAGTATAGTTTTCAGTAGTAGAAGAAGTAGTAGTAGTAGTAGTAGTAGTAGTAGTAGTAGTAGTAGTAGTAGTAATAGTAGTAGTAGAAGTAGCAGTAGTAGTAAAAATAATAGTAATAGTTGTTGTTGGTGTAGTTATTGTCTTGTTGATGATGTTTTGTTGTGGCGTATTAGTATAAGAAGTTGTGTTGATTCATTTCAGACATGTTCAGTGTGGGTGGTATATTGTTAAAACGCCAAATATCGTTTACTAAAACTTATTATTTTGTTTACATTGATAAGATTATAAAGAATGACGTACGTCCTTCATTTACATGTAGGCTTATTTTGTTTCACATGTGACTAACTGTATATCGTGGAATCCATTATGTTGAATTTCAATTTTAACGCTGTATAGTATACGTTATCGTGTAGGCCCTTAGTAATTAAATGTAAATAATGCAACGTGCCTTAAATCTATCTATCCAGGGAGGTGAAAGAAAAGGAGGCGAAACTCTTGTAATTTATTCAAACGCATTCTTGAGTTCTAAAGCGTAACAATGGGATGTGTAACATTCCACTTGGCTTTGAAGTTCCATGCTCCGAACCGCGCTTCCACTGCGGGGACTTTCGGAAGCCAGGCACCAGTTTTACATTTTTTACAAAATATTAAATAACCGGCAAAATTTCAGTGTAAATCAAAAACTTTATATGGGGATTTTATTGGGAATAGTACATCAAACACATTTTCAAATTTAGAACTCCGTCCTTCCTTTAATGTGTGTGCCAGAGTTGGTAAAAGAAAAATTACATCCTGTCA